TTTAAGCACCATGTCCTGTAACCTTGCTCAGACAATATCTAATTGCCAAGGTGCTTTTAATACTAACAGACTTTCTACAGCAACACTCCCAACTGTTACTAAAGTTATTGTAATTGATTCAGCTGTATCAACAGTGGGAATTTTCTGCAAAAATATCTCTTTTATAGGCAAAGCTTTGTTGATATTAGGGTAAGCTAAACAACAATAATAGGTTTTCTATTAAACTGGTAAAAATGTCATTTGAGTACATACTCATAAGAATAAAATCACAAACAGATGTTCATTTCTTTTAAACCCAGGATAAGAGATGTCCTTGCAATATATAACCAGAATTCCACCTTTTCTGTGCAAGTTAAATTTCAAGAGGTGAAAAAGGTCTTTTCTAAAATTCAGAAAAGTTGGATTCATGCTATACAAACTCCATCAAAAAAGATAATTATATTTTTAAGCCTTCTTAGATTATTTATTAGATATATTATAGTTCCCTACTTATCCTTCTCAAATCAACTTGTTCCTACCCTTGTCCATCTTTTGTGGCAGTTTCTCAAACAATTACATTCATCATGCCTTCTTCTGGATAGCATTGTTCAACCTCTCTGAACTCATCTGCAAGGCCCACCTTTTTTAAAGTCCCTCTTTTGCCACCTTTAGTGAATCCCTTTGATTCATACAGAAAGACACTTTTGTTGCTTCTCTTGCTTGATCTCTGTCAGTCTATATCCATCTCTCTTTCAGACAAACTCCTTTGGGCATAGATCATTCCTGGTTGTATGCTTGGAAGGAACCTAGGGGTATGTCTACACTACCCTCCTAGTTCGAACTAGGAGGGTAGTGTAGACATACCCCTAGGTTCCTTCCAAGCATACAACCAGGAATGATCTATGGTGTAGCCGCGCGGCACGGGGTTCGAACGAGCCGGGATTTAAAAATGGCGGCGCCCGTCTTATGAAAATGAAGCCCAGGAAATTCAAATCCCGGGCTTCATTTGCAAGTGCGGTATGCCTACATTACCCTCCTAGTTCGAACTAGGAGGGTAGTGTAGACATACCCTACCTTATACATAAAGTGATGATCATGGAAAATGAAATTTCAATACTTGTTTCCTGTTATTCTAGTATATACAGATAAGAACACATGTTACACAAAGAGATTAAGATTCTTTTTTCAACAATTATAAATTAAAAATTACTGATAGTATCATTTTGTGATCCCTTTTCTAGAATTATATTTTATTACCAGTTAGTAACTGAGGTTAGAAATATCCAAGTAATTTATCATCAGCTAAATAATCCTGTAATCCTTGGTAGCAAGAGGCATGGAATGCTTTCATAAAAAAAAGCCAATGATAAATTAAATCAGGCAAAAAAAAAATCCTACAAAAGTCAATTATATAACAGTAACCTTTCAGGTTAAAACCCTTAAAGGGTGAAAATGCATTAAGATGTTACGGCCCTTAGCCAAATGAATGTTTTGTTAAACTACCAATGATTTAAAAATGTGGAATATATGTCACTGGAAAAATTTAAACTACATTTCATTAAATGGCATTTGTTTAATCTAGAAAAAATATATTGGGCCTCAGCAACAAAGTACAGCAATGTGGATTGTTTTTGTCTATTCCCTGCACATAGCTATTTTAAACACAGGGAATACAGTGTTTTAACTTCATGTAAACCTCAATTATCACCTGAACATGTGCATAACTGATATATCATCATATCTAAATAAACTGGAAAAGTGTGCACTTTCACACACAAAGACAATACCCGATCTGTATGACCTATGCCTATGTCTCCAGAGAGAAACTGCGTAAATTACACACAAGTGTACTAGGGATGTAAGGAGATAGTCAATTAGTCCCTTGACTAGTCACTTCCCCCCCTTGAGGCAGCAAGGGGAGGGAGCAGGAGCCCATGCTGGGGGAGAGCTGGCTTAAAAGCCGGTTCCCCCCAGCACCATCTCCACAGGGGTAAGGGAGTAGCAGGGACAAGGCACAAGCTGGGAATCAGCTGATACTCAGTTTGCACCCAGTCCCAGACGCTACGACTCTGCTTTTTAAATGTATTAAGAGCTGTTGGGCTCGTGCTGGGTCCCCACTTCTGTGCTTTAAGCCTGTTAATGTATTAAAAGATGGCGGGCTCTTAATAATACCATTTAAAAGGCAGAGTTGCAGCAGGGTTAGCTCCCGGGGCCCAAAGCTAACCCCGCTGCGAATCCTCTGCTTATCAACCAATCAACTAGTTGATGGAAAATCCATCGACTAGCTGATTATTTAATTATCCTATATTTGACATCTACACTGCACACTTATTTTGAAATAAACTATTCTGGAAGAAATACTCCAAAATAGCTTATTTCGAAATAGCACATCTACACTATAGGGAAGCCTCAAAATTAGTCCAAGGCAAGCTTCCCTAATGTGGACGTACTACCTCAACTTAGAGCCCCAGGAGGCACTTGGGAGGAATAATTTAGAATGGCCCTGGTGATGAGCTATTATTTGAATGGCCCTCAGGAGGAGTTATTTTGAAATAGCAGCAGTGGAGCCTCCACACTAGGGATGTTAAATTGCAAGTAATTGACTAATCAAATAGTCAATGCATTTCACATTGACTATTCCATTAGTTGATAGGGCGCCTCCGCCTTTGAAGTGTAGCAACTGCCCTAGGGCTATTGCTCCATTTCAAAGGCGAAAACACCGCATGGAGCCAGGGATCAGCTAGGCACTCCCCCACTGACCCTGGGCTCCATACAGCACTGTCACTTTGAAATGCTGTGGGGAGCCCGGCATCAGATTCCTCACAACATTTCAAAGCAGCAGCACCCTGTGAAGCCCAAGATAAGCTGGGGACTCTCCCACTGACCCTGGGCTCCATGTGGCTCTGCCACTTTGAAACGCTGTGGGGAGCCCAGCGACAGGCTCCTTGTGGCATTTCAAAGCAGCAGCACCCCATGGAGCCTAGAATCAACTGGGGACTACCCCGCTGACTCCGGGCTCCATGTGGTGCTGCTGCTTTGAAAGGCTGTGAGGAGCCCGGCGTCAGGATCTTTGCGGCATTTCAAAGTGGCAAGATATCATGGAACCCAGAATCAATTACGGACTCCCCCGCTGACCCCGGGCTCCATGCAGCACTGCTCCTTTTAATTAGTCCCTCTTCTTTCCCCTGCCCCCTTGCTGCATCTTTCTGATAGAGGCAGCAAGTGGGGGAGAAGGAACTAGTAGACTAGCCTGTCGACTATCCGATAAACATTTGCTTATCAGATAGTCGACTAGTCCTTCACATCCATAGTCCACACTACTGCTATTCCGAAATAGCTATTTCAGAATAGGCGTTATTCCTCGTGGAATGAGATTTACAGAAGTCAGAGTAAGCCTCCCCGTTATTTCGAATTTATTTTGAAATAGTGGAGTTGCTATTCCTCGTGGAATGAGATTTACAGAAGTCAGAGTAAGCCTCCCCGTTATTTCGAATTTATTTTGAAATAGTGGAGTTGCTATGCAGATGCTCGCATTGTTATTTTGGAATAACGGATGTTATTAAAAATAATGCTGCTGTGTAGACACACCCAAATGACTAGTTATCCACCACCATGCTTCTTTGTACAGCACACCGAAAAGAAGAATCAACTGTATGCACATTGTTCCATGTACAACTATATACTCACTGTTTTAAAAAAACAATAATAAAGATTTCTGAAGAACCATGATCTGGTATCAATGGCAATGCAGCTAATTCTGAAGAATATTTATCTAAGTTTCTTTGGCCCTTTAAAAGGATACAGTCAAATGCAATATAGGACATTTGCATTTAATTTTCAATTGTTTTAAGAAACATGAAGAAAAATTATTTATTGATTTTGTACTTTTCTATCTGGCAAACACTGTTAACTGTTTTCTTGTTTCAGTTTCCATGCATCGGAAATTAAGATGGCTATTAATTGACCATACCAGTAGAAATTTTTGAATATGAAGTTAGTTTGCCAATACTGAGCGCACAATTTGCTGGGTTCTTCATGAGCACAGCAGTCATGATACAATTCTGCATAAACTGATTGTGTATGTTTTAAATTATCATTTTTGCGGACATAGTTGGCTTGGTTATCTAGCGGTTTGAGAAAGATCTGGGAGTTAGGATTCCTGAATACCATTTACTTTGAGCTAATCATGGAAAGATTCCACTGGTTCAGTTACAGTTGATTTAAGGCTCTTAAATATAATCACTTGTAAAATTAGTATAACAGCATTTACTTTGACACAGGGTTAAGAAGTTAATAAATGTGTCTAAAATACGGATATAAAATACAAGACAAATGTAAACATTATTATGCAGAGAATACTGAGCCATAACATATAAACTCCATATTCTGCATGATCATATTGTAGCCAGCTCATTTCTAAGAGAAGCTCATTAAATAAACATCTTCAATAAACTTATAGCATGATTACTCCAAAACAAGAAAGTTTCCAAGGGAATATTGGTTGTAATATAAGCAGCTTTTCATCTTAAGGGCCTTAGTTTGCAACCAGTGGAAGATTTAATAGCTGTTTTCATTTGGAGTTTGCTCGTCTCCACCTAGTATACTTAGTGTACATGTATCTACATTAAAAAAATAACCAGAGTTGGCACAACTCTGGAACCTTAAGGCAGTCTCAGTAGGGAGACAAAGGAAAGAATAAACTTGACTGAATTATTCTCCAACCCTTAGAAGTGACAGCTCTAAAGCAGAGATGAGACACAGTTGTGTGGCAATCTGGGAAAGCTTTTTCAGTCGAAAGACAAAAGTCTTCAAATTCCTAGGCCTGAGCCATTATGAACAAGAAATTAACAATTAAAATATTTACATTTGTAAGAATTTGCTTTGGACTGTGTTATCTTCAAGAAATCAAATCACTGAAATAGCATACCACCACTACCATTGCTAACAAAAGAGAACTTGATTCAGTACTGCATTACTGGGTTTACTGCATTATTAATAAAATAAAAGCAAGCAAAACTTACCTTTTATGTAAATGTAAGGACCCTGCAGAGGCCATTTTCTTAGATGAACTGCTAAATGTTTGGAATGGAAAATTCTGAAACATAAATGACAGAGCCACATCGAAGATTAAAGATTGCTATAAAAAAAGGAGACTCCCCTTTTAGAAACGTGCAGACATGTTTATATTGAAATTCTCATACCATTTTTTTAAGATTGATTGTCTGAAGATAAGGGGGAAGAGATCACTTCTGGGCATAACTAATTCACACATTCACAGCTGAGGATCAAAATACCAAACACCTAATATCCTTGGCTCAGTTCTTCATTGCACCAGTATAAATTCACAGTAAATAGAGCAGCTACAGATTTACACTGGAGAAAGCCTAAAACTAGACCCTTTGTAATTTAAACCTTCTGTGAAACCCAGTACAGTAATCATGATTACCGGGGGCGGTGCCCCCTGCTCACTATGCTCATCAACCCCCGTCTCTGGAAGTAGGCAGGGAGGGGTT